AAAGTACTTTGAAGGTTTTATTTTATTTCATTTTACAAAAAGCATTAGTTTATTTATAAAATGTTACTTTGAGTCTTCTGGAAACATCATTTCTGAAAATTTGTCAAGCATTAGCCTTTGTGTTCGGCATCCCAAGCCTTCCGATGCCATGATGCATATTGAGTTGCAGTGTGGTGGCTGAGCTGTCTTACGTATGGTCATAAACCTTAAGGAATGTGTCACCTATGTAAACAAATGTAGCATGATCGTTGACTCATTGAACTACTTTTTTTATTCAACTAAAATCTTGAAGTCAAGATACCCATATGTATAAGAATCTCTGCGTACTTTTCAGGATATCATAAAATCTTGTTAAAAAAAGAAATCTTTAGTTGTTATTATTAATTAAGAGATTGGAGACCACTGGAGAGTAACTAGTTAGTCTCTTATACTAACATGTCCGTGCTGATATATAAGATGATTAGACTAAGTTCTTAGAGGTTGGTATAATTGACTTATTTCCATACATCAAATGGCATAACTCATGTAGATCTTGGTTTTAAAAAGCGCGCCTCGCTCCCAGGCTCAGGGACATAGGCTTTAGCTAGGCAAGGCTCAGTCACCTATGGAAGGAGCGCGTGCCTCGTGTGCCTCAAAGCGCCTTTGCGCCTCACGGAAAATAACTAAGATTTAAGTTATAAATTGAAGAATGATGGACATTTTTTCAAATTTAGACTACCTTAGCTTTACATATATCATTATTTAATTTATTACGAATCTTTTTAATTGGTATTAAGTACAATCAAAGTAAAAAATAATTGTAATAAATATGTAAATACATGCGCTTTGGATACAAAAAGCGCGCACCTTTGCCTTGCGCCTAGGCTGCTAGCACCATTTGTGCCTTGGTGCGCCTTGCACCTTTTAAAACTAAGATGTAGATGTATCTTTATGAATTTGTGGGCAACTGATGGGAACTTTATAAAATATATTTTGTGATTTTTAAAGTTGCTGAACCAGACAAATATTTACTGTTTGTGGTGTTTATTTTCTAGATGTCCACTAGCTCCAGGAGTGATACTACCGATGACTCCATTTTTGACATAGAGGAGCTATTACAGATTGAAGCAAGATGTAGAGAGGTATGTTTCAGAATTTTGTTCGTCTGGGTTGTTTTTGCATGACATAATTTACAAAATTGTTGCATAAGTCATGAGGCACAGCAGATATTTTCCTTTGTCTTTGGTGAATTGAATAGCTAGATAGCGTTGATTTCGCCATTCTTCAAGCTGGTTTATTGAAACAACCCTAATTTATTTATTTAAGCTGTACAATGAATAAAACAAATTATACTCTTCAATTTGGACAGGGAAAAAGAATTTAAATGGACCAATACCTCAATAGAAATTTTATTGTGATTGATGGAGAGGATTTAATAACACCCCCACCCGCTGATAAAAAAATTAACTGAAAAAAGGGAAAATGTTCATTATCATCTGTTAATTTCTATTGAAAGTTCACAAGGGGGTATGTTTAATTAACAATAGAGTAGCAAAAATATTTTATCTTGTTTCATAATTGATAATTCAAATTCAACCTTTGTTTTCATATATTTCACATCCCAGACTTATTAACTGTTACACACAAATACCTTCAGCTTTTTACCTATCCCCTTATAGGCCATCCTTTTTGCACTATTACTTTATATTGAAAGTGTGAAGTAGTCAGAGCTATTCCTTCTGACTGGAAGGAATTAGAGGTGAGCCAGTACAACCCCTTCCTTTTAAGTGTAATTATATGAGATGCATTTGTACTTGTGAATGTCATTTTTGAAGCACCACAGTAGACAGTCTGGTTACTCATTTCCGACAATAAAGCTTTCTTCTGTTGAGCTTGATGCAACTCCAATAATGATAAGTGCACTCTGGTCATGAAATACTCAATATATTTTCCATGAGAACATTTGGGGGTATCGGCATTGCTGGCACCTGTTAATTCGCTTAATTAGTATGTCAGTATTTGTCTGATCCTTGAAGACATGATATTGCTCTGCATTTGTAATGTCACTGATTCATTTACGAAGTACTTTGCTTTAATGAATTTACTTTTGCACGAAAGGAATTATTTGCAGATTTTTTACTTAGTTTCTCATTTTTTATTGCAGTTAAGAAGAGAGAAGGACTTGCTTAAAGAAACACAATCCCAAAGCTTCGACTTGATCAAAGTAATATTGTAATTATCATTTGGTCTATTTATTTACTGTTATACAGCTGTTATTGTTTATTTTCACCATTTGCTTAGCTAGACATCAGTAATCTTCATTCTCCAACCTCCCCCCTACACCTACAACCTAAAAAGAATATACGAGTGATGTGGAGGTTATATAATAATTCGTTGACATACTCAATTGTAATCTATCTGGGAATCCAAGATGATAGTTATAAATGTTGTATTTGATTCTTTTCATTACTGAACTGATCTATTATCATTTTGGCATCAATATTCAGTTTCTAATATGCCTTCTAAGCTGTACTAAATAGAGATACAAACCTGTTGATGGTTCAACCTGGACAACAATAACAAATGATGCATAGTTCTGGAATTTCCAAACTAAAAGTACACTTTAGATTCAATGATGTATGACTTTATTTTGGCCACACTTAATTTCAGGAAGGGTAAATAGTCAGTTGCTATGTTCTTTTCTGCAATTTCTACATTAAGAACTCTGTTTTCGGCTGTCCAAAGGACATTAGAAGTCAGATCTAGTGCAGACTCTGCATGTTACTATTATGCTCGGTGATCTTCTTACTAGGTTTCATGCATTGCAGAGACTGGAGCTGCATGTATGGAAATTGAATGAGGCCCGCTTGGATGATAAGAGGAAAATTCAAGAGTTAGAAAAAGAGCTGAATAACTGCCATCAGGAAATAGGTAATATAATTATATTTTGTATCTTTCATTTAATTTGCATGCTAAAATTCACTGTTTCCGTCTTTGCTTTGGGGGATTGAGGTTTCTTCTTTATATTTTGGCTTGTGTGGTTGGGGTTTTCTTTAGAGTGGAAACTTTAGAGTAGACTTGGCTGGTTTTTAGTCTTTTACCCCCTCCTGCTGCTGTTTATCTTGGCTCAGCTTTAGATTTGATAAATATTATAAGATGCCGCTGAACTTCGAATCCTAATTTTTCAAATCTGTTCTCATTTACTTTACTAGCATATGCTACTAGTGGCTCTATTAAGGACCTCGTTAAATGCACTGGTGAAAAACTGCCCCCAGCAATGCCAAGAACCTGTCTGCCAAAAAAAAAAAAAAAAAAAAAAGAAAAGCAATGCATAAATGCTGTGAGAACGGTGCCTAGTTTTCTTTCTTCAGTTTCATAATTGCTTAGTGGGTGCTTATAAATGGATACTTTGCTATGCTGATTGTTCATAGTATCATTAGTCATTTAGTGCATTATTGTGTCAACTCCAGACTATTTGCAGGATCAATTAAATGCAAAAAATGCTGATGTGAAGTATCTCGAAGAGTGTGTTGGGAGCGTTGAGATGAAAATGGTGGACTTTGAACTTCTGCAGGAGGAAGTTGTCACTCTAAGAGAAGAATTAGAAAAATCGGACTCGGAGTGTAATTTTTATATTCAGGAACTAGGGACTAAAGAGACACAACTACAGCAGTCAAGATTGCATATAGAAAAACTAGAAGAGTCTATTGCCTCTGCTGCATTGGAGTACCAATGTGAAATAGAGAGCTTGAGGCTAGAAATGATGTCCTTGGAGCAGAGCTGCTTTGAGCCTGAGAAATCCGAGGAGTACTGTCAAGAAATTGCTGGATTGACCATGTCACTTCATGAATTTCAGATCCAGTTTGAAGAAGCACAAAAAAATATTAAAAATTTGGAAAATGAAAACAAACGAATGAAGGACGTGCTTAATGCACGCGAAAAGGAAGCAAGATTATTTTGCCAGAGAGTTGAAGAGCACTTCAAAGGATGGATGGATTGTAGTAAAGGTTCAAATTCTTGTGGATTGTCCAATGTTGCTGCAGGAGAAGTTAGCTCATGTGGCACTATCCTAAGACCACTGCTCTCAAAACTCCTCAAGATAGGTACATCAGTTAAAGATCTTAAAGGTAGTGATAGTGGAGAGAAAATGTCCCATGAACTTCATAAGTATAAAGAACAAGTTAAGCAGGTTAAGGAAGAACTGAAGAAAGAGAAATTAAAAGCGAAAGAAGAGGCAGAGGACCTCGCTCAAGAAATGGCGGAATTGAGATACCAAATGACAGAGTTACTGGAAGAAGAGCGCAAACGACGTTCTTGCATTGAACAAGCCTCTTTACAAAGAATATCTGAGTTAGAAGTACAGCTTCAGATGGAGCAAAGAAAATCTGTTGGTTCTGTTCAAAGATTATGTGAGGCATAATAGTTTTAATGAGTTCAGTACTGTTGTGTTTTGTAACATTACCAGTCATTGTGTAAAGACTGAACTAATATATTTGTACAGATATAGAATGTGAAAGTATCATTTGATTGAGATGAAGCATTGTGTTTGGTCCGCACACAAAATGATACTTCACTGAGATAGTTTAAGCTGCTCTCGATTTTTTTTTTTTTTATTTGAACCTTCTCATCTACTGTATTTTGATCTGTTGGAGCTGGGCGAAGCTTTGAAATTTAACAGATGAATATGGGTTTATGTTTGTAGAATAGAGTGGGCAAAATTTGGAACATAAAGTTGTTATGATAAAATATTAGTACAATTTATTGGCAAAATTTCTCTTGCAAATAGTCTCATCTAAACACTCAAAAATTTGCCTTGCACCTTAACTTAATACAAGTATTAAATTATTAATTATTTAATTTTATTGAAATCGTATATACTTCTTTAATCTATTTTAACATATGGTTTGCATCACTTTTCTTTATACTCGATCTCTCCACCTCTCTTCTATCATGACCTTTTTTTTTTTTCTTATCTCTCTCATTTCCAAAAATTGTTTAGGAATTTGTAATTTGCAAATCGATGCAACTAAATCACCAAACGAGAATTTTATATAAAGTACTCTTGTCAAATTCACCCAATTATACTTCCATTGTCACCAACTCACCATACCATACGATTGGTTTTGAGGAGCTCATCGTGTCTTATTTACAACAATTTACTGTTATCACTTGTACCCAGATAACTAACTAATACACTACTAGTCTACTACCAGTAGTATAACTTGATTAACATCACAGATTTTCAAAAAACTCTTTCTAATTGGAGTTGAACACAAATCCCATCAATGGCAACACAATTAGTCTCTCCCTTAAAATCAACCTTATCCCCAATTTTTACAACCCCAGAAAAATTATCAACCCCCTTTTCTTGGAAATTAAACCCAATTTATAATCCACCCCACAAATTTTCTGCACCTAAGTTGGTTTCTGGTGGTGGGTTTTTGAAGAGTGAAAGAAGGAAAATCAGCTTCAGAACATACTCTTACTCTTCTTCTTATTCTTCATCATCATCTTCATCTTCGTCATTTGGTAATTTTGATAAGAAAAATGGGAATATTATGGTTGATACTTGCTTGGTAATTCCTCCCCCAAATTACAAAAAGCCTCGTGCAATTATCAAGTTTCTTGGTGGAGCTTTTATTGGGAAGGTTTCTCATGTCACTTACAGGTTTGATTGTATTGCTGTGTATTTTATTTTTGGAATTTTCATCATCAAATCCTAGTTAATTGGAAACAAACTAGCATTTGGGCATGTGATTTAGGTTGTTTAAGGAGTTTTAGTAGATCAGTAATTTACTACTTAAAAATAAAGTTTTTAGCTTTCAAGTAGGGAGCCCCCTAAGGCAGTGATGTAGATGGGATTTGATTTGAAATTCGTGTTTTGTCCTCGGGACTTTAACGAACTAAACTAGTTGACATTCGCTCCTTAGTGTATAATTGTATATGATTGCTCACCTTGTTGTGTGTGTGTTTTATTTCAGCTGTTTAGTTGCTATATAAGAAGTTATTTGTTTTATACATGTGTGTAACAGGCATTTGGGACTTTGATCTTCGGATTTAATTTGGTGAATTTATTGTTTTTTGTTGCTAAGAGAGAAAGCTTGGATACTGAGTGTTACTGTTCTTTGTGATTTTTGTTTTTGTTTCAGCTATCTAATTGAGTTATTGGCGAAGGAAGGGTATCTTGTTGTGCTTGTTCCTTATAGTGTGACATTCAATCATGAAGTTGCAGCTAAGCAGGTTTATGAAAGGTTTAATGCCTGCTTGGATATCCTTCTCACTTCTGGATTGTCTGAAGCCAGACTCGAAGCTTCCCAGCTTGTTGGCCTTCCTGTTTTCTCTGTCGGCCACAGGTTGGTTTTAGTGTTTACAGTTCTTAAGCCTTATGCTCATGCTTTGCTCATTGATTGTCATTTATAAAGTTACTACTTCTGGAATAGGATGATAGGGACATGCCACTAGTCCTTGGTTAAGTAACAATCCTTTCTTTCTTTTGTGATTTTGGAAGTTGTGATCTCATCAAGATTTTTAGCAACTTAATCTAGTTTCAGCTTGTTACCAAACATGGATATATGGTTTCCCGGACAGCGGTGAATGTGGTGTATTTTTGTATCATTATGTCCACACTCATCCATTGGTTTATTGTTCTGTAACTGTCCGTAGATAAAGGATTATGTCATGTTTCTCTGACTGATCGAGTGTTTTGGCCTTCAATCTGAGGAACATATGACTTTATACCGTTAGAGTTGAATGCTATGCGTTGATATCTTTAATCAGTATACTTGTGTCAACTTATTGGAGACTGACTTTGCCAGTTAACCAAGTGATGCCTGTGCCAGAAAATTAGGTTGAATGAGACACTTGTTGGATACTAATGCTATATCATTCTCACTACATTTCCAGAGATTATTGACCATAGTTAAATTGGTGGCTGCTTGACTTGCTGCGGGTAAAAAAATCATATTCTTCTCCACTGATCACTCATTTTCTTTAAATTCCCTGCAGTAATGGAGCACTTCTCCAAGTTCTGACAGGAAGCTACTTTTTTGACAAACTACCAAAGGTTACTTCCTTTCTTACCTTCTTATTTTCTGCAGTAAATTGGCATATTTAAGCAGGAATTTTGATTTCATGAACTTGTAGCATGTAGGGAAAAGAAAATTGTAAATTATAATCTGTATTAACTTCAGCATTTTGCACAATGTGACGAAGAATGTATCTCTTGTGGAAGGCTAATGCCATTGTTTCGTTCAACAACCGGTCAGCAACAGAGGCAGTGCCATACTTTGAACAGGTAATAGTTTTGCTTATTCGTATTCTGTACTTTGTATCTCATCAGTATCATTTAAAATTTATAATACAGCTGAATATTCTTAGTTTCCATTTGCTTTTGTTTAGCCAGAGTATCAGCTGCTCTTAGGAGCATCATATACTTGCGTAAAGCTCTCTGGTTTCCCCACAATAAAATCTATGCTAATAATAACCAAGTCATAAATTTGCTATGCAAACTCTTGTGCGTGAATGCTTTCAATATGTGTAACTGGACTCTAGGTCTTTAGATTAGGGATTAAGCTTCTTTACACGTGATAAAAGTTGCTGCCAGGGTCATTTGGTTGATGCTCAGTGAGCTGATGCTACTGGTCACATCACTAAATTGCAGATCTAAAAGCCAAATGGGATTCTGTGATAGTGCAAAACCATGGATGTTAAGCCTTTTGGACACTCAATTACTATTGTTTAATGTGTTGAAGGCCTACAAGCATTTCCCCTTTCATTTTGTTTTTCTTGTCATTATCATATTATTCCAATGATGGTTATTATGACTTGGAATCTTTGTGAGTTATTGTTTGTGACTTCTGAAAATGCAGTAGCATTTGAAATGATGAATTAGCTTTTGGCCTTCCATGTCAAGGAAATATTACAAATGTTTTGGAATTTAGTGATTGTTGATGACCAATATCAAGCTCATGTCTAAAAGTTCGCTCAATTTGATCTCAGATGTTATATTTTGTGGACATGCAGATTTCTGCATTATTTGTAGACTTTCATGGAACTGTACCTGATTGTCCTTGTATGTATGACTCACAATCTGGTGTAGTGTTGCATGCATGGCATAGTGGGTAATAACATGAGCTTTCCACCTCGGTAATTAATATGCTCTCTTGATGGTAATTGTGGTAATTATTTCGCAGTTGGGCCCTTTGATGAGTCAGGTCATGCCAATGGTGGAAACAAGTCCAATGTATTCAATGGCTACTAGTGTATCAGGTAGTATTAATAATTGCATCTGAACTTCATTTGCAATATTTTTGTAGATTTGGAAACATGCTAGTTCAACTTTTGTATTCTGTAAGTGTTAGCTATCCTCCTACTCTCTAGGCTTTGAATTTGTGATAATCTATGACACAAACTAGGATTTGATCTTGCATTTGCACCTTATGAACTGTACTTCTTAATAAATTAACAATATTTAAATATCACGGTATATAGGGATTCCCACTTAGCTAAATAATCTGTAAATTTTGTTTACTACTACTGTCTGTATGTTACTGGTGTCCTGTATCCACATTTAGACTGCATATGTTGCTTATAGACCCAATGAAGATGAAGATTAGCTAATTCTATTTATAGTATTTGATGTATAGACTATTTGAGTGAAGGAACCTTTTTCAAGGCATGGTGGGTTTCCATATCTGAATCCGTTTAAATTATGAGACAGGACTGGAACTAGGTCAATATATCAGCTGTAATGTAATAGCTTACATGAACACCATTATGATTTAGCGTGTTATAAAGTTTGCCTGCTTTTGGCAAAACAAAAGAGTATTTATATCTTTGTCCAATTTGTCTTGGAATCTCATGCCTAATCAATTCTGAACAGAACATTTCAGATTACTAACCCTCAATTTGACTAGTTGGATACTAACTATAGGCATAAACACAATACGATTTGGCCTGTATAAAGAATTGTAGAAATCCTTTAAAGCTATGATAAACATCTGAAAAACTTATTGCACGGGTTGCTTCTGTAGCACTTTCTAAGAAATGTTTGTCAGAGAAGTTTCTTTTTTATATGATTGTTCTCGGACCTATTAAACTTCATGTGTTTTGCTGCCACCTAACGCCATGAAATTTTCATGGTATTTATGGTCTATGGATCAGAGCCTTAATGATTAAGATAACCACTCGGACAGTAATAATCACCATGTCTATGACTTGAAGGACTATACCGGTCATGGCATCAGCCTTTACATGAAACTTTTGAGCTATCTATCGGTCTTTTAAATCAGCCTCGTTGAGTACGAGTACATTGAGCACCACTTGAAAAAAATTATCAGTATGTTCATGACTGCAAGGATTATCTTTGTCTCGAGGCTGATTTTGTCCACCTAATTAAGGTGCTTACTGCTTAGTTGTGTTTTAGATATTTGATGCCCCATCCTCATAACATTTCTCACAAGTATTTCAGGCCATAACGGCTATCTTCTCTTGATACAGTAATCCTTATTGTTCTTTGCTGTAATTCTGTCTCTTTGTAGTAGTTAGCACTAGTCAATCAAGATTCTGAGGTTTCTTATTAAGGATTGTAATTTAAGTTCCCTTTATATTGATATAGGAGATGCATGGAAGGCGTTACTAGATGGAGCTGGAGCAGTAGTAGCTCAAACTGATGCCGAGTTATTTTCTTCAGTTACTCAATTTGTTGATCAATTGCCCTCGGTGCTAAATGAGGTATACATCATGATTGAAGTATGCATTTTGTTTAAATCATTAATCATTAGCAGGTTCCATTCCGTATCACACGTATATAAATTGGTTTCAGAAAATCAGAATACTACTTCGTATTTCATTACAAATTTTGGTATTCCAGATCTAAGATTTTGCTTCGTAATTTTGCATGATCTGATCAGGTTAGACAGGGAGTGTCAGAGTTCAAGCCAACACCTGCAGAAAATCGTGAACGTTGCAAAAGTTCATACAACGTCCCACACACATTATTGGTAGGTTAAGGTTCCCTTGTCATCTGTATAATACATAAATTTGTCATTTACAATTTTACATTCCAGAAGATTTTCAATCTCAGGTGAAGTTTAGTTTTGATACTATTGACGAGACTGATCTCCTCGAAGAGACACTGAAGCCCCGTGTCAACTCCATTGGTGGGACACTTCAGAAGCTCCAACTAAGTGGTAACCACCTTACACCATGCATACAGGTAATATTCTATATTCATTTTGAAAAATGACCAATGCCCTGTAGTGTTACCATGGATAATACCCTTTTAAAAATATATTTTTTGAAATTTTTATGTCAAGAAGGGCAAAGATTGATGAAGCTAAACTTGAAATGAAATCAAGGCTAAACATGCTGAAGTTACTGACTACTGAGTGATACTGACAATAAGCTCCTCGAGTCTTTAAATGTCATCACTTTTGTGCTGGCATAGACTCTAAAAACTTGTTATCTGGATATTGACATTCTCAGGATCCAAAATGGCAAGTGGGTGACCTCTACACACCTGTAGATGCTATCGCTCAAGGCCTGAAAACTGCTTCATTGAATGATACCAAAGTTCTCGCTCAAACCATAACCAATTGGTTTAAGCGTTTTGAAGAATAATATGATCAAGGCTTGCAGTGAATTATGTCCTGCATATTACAACAAGATCTCATTGCAGAGAAGGAAAGTGTGATGAGTGCAGTTTTATTCGTTAGATGCAGGATGATTCGAGCCTTCGACCTCAACAACTAATGGATTACTGTCAGAAGAATATTAATATGGCTTGCTCTATTCACTGAAAAGGAACGAGATTGATAATCTGGAAGGATAAATAAGATGCCTAAGAAGTTTGTGACTTGTAACTTGTAAGCATATATGATATTTGTTAATACAAAATATCATTGTATTCTAGTAGATGGAAGCTTAGCCATCGTTGACCTTTATCAGGTCAATATAACTCTGCTTGACTAGGTAATGATCAAAATCAAAGGGGAAAAAAAAGCAAAAAAAAAAGCATGCAACTTGGGTTTGGAAGTATTCATTCATTCATACCTAAGGATGTTAGGTATTTATTTATTATTTTTTTTAAAAAAAAATTACTTAGTATATACAAGTATATGTTAATAGTTGGGAGATAATTGAGGTCACTTTATAATTAATTTTTCTTGTTAATGATGTTATTAAATAGTAAGTCAAAACTCATAACATCATATTACATGCACATCCAAACCTTGACGAGGATGTTCACATTATACAATTCGCACTCATTGTCAATAACATCTTGACATAAGATGATTGGGAGAGAATCGAGCGAGAAATATATACACTAGATAGAATATAGGAGAGAAAATTTTTCACTAACTTTTCACCTTTGAGTTTTTCCTAAAATAGTATTAAATTCATTTTTTTTTTCAATTTGATGTTCACACCACAAATGTGTTTCACAATGAAGTACAATTGAGCTTGGAAAATTGGATTAATGCATTGATATTAACTATTAAGGCCACTTATTAAACTATCAACTATTTTTTGTCTTAAGTAATCTTTTACTAATTTCAATTTCAATTCGAGTGACTGGGTTGAGTTTAATTTCAATTTGAGTCATACTAATCTATTATGTCTATGAAAGTCAAAATTTGGATCAGATCACTTTTGAATAAGGTTGAATTAGTTTTTGACACTTCTATTGTATATATTACTAGTAAAAAAAAATTCGAAAACATAACAATTTTTTTTTTAATTTTTTATAGCGCACACACCATCCATTTTTCATTTCTTTTAGCTTATTTTCCAAATTATTAAATCCAACATGTAACAAAAGAAAAAAAATAAATAAATAAAATTGACACCTTCAATTTGACAATGTCCAACAAAAATAAATGGATTAAGTTTAGTCTGCCCAAAAAAGAAAGCCCCCAATCTTCAAATATTTGATTTGTTCAACCAAACTATTTAATCAAAAAATCAAACTACCCCAAATTTCCACAGTAAGTTTGGAAGAAAGAAGCCGTGTTCTTAAAATAACGGGCAATTTCTTCCTTACTTCCTGCATTTTTCACACACTAAATTTCTCTTTCCTCCCAATTTTTCTTCATTATTAAGCTTTCCCTTAATCCCTTCTTTCTATTTTCATAATCCCCAATCAATTTTCCTCCAATTTTCCACTTACCCATTTTATTTCTTGCAAGTTTTCAGGTACTTTTATACTTTATTTTTTTGATCGAGTTCATATTTTCTTGATTATGTTGGTTGAATGAGTAATTAAAGTGATGTAATTTACTTTTTATGTCTTAATTTTTTCTGGGTATTTGCAATTTTTCATTTTTATTTCTGGGTTTTTTCTGCTGTTGTTGATCTCTTAACTTGTAAATAAGCACCATGATGTTATGCTGGAAGTAATTGAAGTTTGCTGCTTTGGTTTTCTACTATTGATTGAATATTTTGGATTCAAATTCAAAGTTTTAATTGAAAGTTTGATCGTATTGTTAGTGAGTGCTGGTGATTGGATTGATGTGTTTTTTAAAATTCAAATTTGAACTGAACTCATCTCAATTTTGTGGGTAATTTACTTTTCTTGGATTTATGTTAATTATGTTTTGAAAGTATATGACATGTTATGCAATAATCCTTTTTCTATACGGCGTTATATGTATAGTACACCCGGGTATATAATGAAAATTGTCGAAATTGTTGATGTTATGAATTGATTTTTGCCCTTAATTGAATTGTAAGTTTCATTTTTTTTTGTGTTTTTTCTTGAGTTTTAAGTTGTTAGCTTGGGTCTATATTAGTCAATGGAATCTAGAGAATTTTCAAATTAAAGTTAAAAGGGATCACTTTTATGTCTACCTTTCTTGGATGTTTTTATATTCTGTCCCAATTAAGATCTTGCCTTGACCATGTTGAAGGGGTTTACTGATTCTTCTTTTCGAAGTTGCAATACAGAATATTAATATACTAGATTCCGTTATAAGATGTTTGTGTTTTGTATTTCGGGTTGAGGATTGATTTGCCATGTTTATTTTATGGTTATTCCATCATATGAAGTTTTCTGGTGCTGATTCATTGTGGTATTGGGATGATTTGCAGAAATTTTGTACAGGCGTTGTGTTACCAGATTTGTGCCATTTAGCAGTTTTTCGAGGCATTATTCATTTTTGACAATGAATGGTATTAAGAACTCGCCATTACATAGGTTTGCTAAGCCTAGCTCTGCTGGCAGGAAAGTTCCCAGTGATGCAAGCTATAACCCTTTTGATTCTGATGATGAGTCTGATAAGAAGCCACCTACTCAAGTATCCTCTACAAAACAAAATTCTGGAGCATCGAAGAATTTACCAAATTCTTCAATGACCAACCCTTTTGATGACGACATTGATGATCGAGAGAAAGAAGTGAGTTCGTCCACCTCTAAATTCTCCTTCACCTATGCACAAAGGAACAAATACAAGAATGATTTCTATGACTCAGGAGGTGTGGACAATCAAAATGTAGAAGAACTAGAAAATTATTCCGTGTACAAATCTGAGGAGACAACCAAGACTGTTGACAATTGTTTGAAGATTGCTGAGGGTATAAGAGATGATGCTACTAAGACACTAGTAACTCTCCATCAGCAAGGTGAACAAATTAGAAGAACTCATGACGAGGCTGTACATATTGACTATGATTTAAGTCGGGTATGATGTTCTTACTTTTGTTCATTATCAATGATATTGTGTGTGTTGTGTGTGTGTGTGTGTGTGTGTGTGTGGAAGACACCCTCAATCTAAAGTAGCATGACCACCGAAAATTGTATCTCTTGGGATCTCATTACCGTGCTTCACACGTCATAATATCTTTGTTACCTTTTCATCAGGCCATTGAACATATAATGTATATATGTTCTTAATTAGAAGTTGAACGAATTGTCATGGATGAATCAGAAAAATATGCCTTTTGATCTGTGTCGTTTTCCTTTTATTTTTTGATTTTTCCTATCTGAATATTAACCTTTTTATAAAAGATATGTGATAGCCTTTTTATCACCCTCTACAGTCTACACACACTGACACACACACACACACAATGCACAAACACTTGCTCACAACCGCCTTCCCTCCACATACTGAAGCACACACATAGAAAACATGTGCAAAAACACTTAATCACAACTGCCTTCCCTCCACAGCTGAAGCACACACATAGAAAACATGTGCAAAAACACTTGATCACAACTGCCTTCCCAAGCACACACATAGAAAACATGTGTGCAAGAGTTGTGTGACATGAACTGCTCTGTTTATTGGAGATACTGGACTAAAGTTCACCATCCGTCAAATGGATTTGAGTTTTGTGTAATAGTTAATGGATGAGTGAGAGTGACACAGGACTAGCTCAATTCATGCCACTTTTTGTGCTTGGGTTGTTATAAAGAATTGAAATATGAATACAATTCTTCTTTTTCTATGGCCTATGAACTTAACACTTCACATGCTAGTGACTATTAGTCATTATGTTAGACCACTTCCCTTCTCTTTGAAAGATATATCATATAACAATGTACGGGTAAAATTAATGTGTTGTCTTTCTCCCAAGGTATATCTTTCACTATGGATTGGTGGTTATCTTTTATAATCCTACATAATTTCTTCTGTTATTATATTCATGTATTAGGATTCTAGTTATTTCTTCTTTTTGAAATCTTGGATTATATCATTTCCTTTAGTTTAAGGACCCGTGATTAAATATTTGTTCAATGATTGCAGGGGGAAAAGCTTTTAGGAAGTCTTGGGGGGCTATTTTCTAGGACTTGGAAGCCAAAAAAGACTGCTCCTGTTAAAGGCCCTGTTGTTTTGAGAGGTTTGTGTCCCACTTCTCTTGCTCTATATTTGATGTTGCAGACATAGCTTTGCCTCTTATATCTCTTTCTCAACAGATGATCCTGTTTGGAGCAAGGGTAGCCACTTGGAACAGAGGGAAAGACTGGGATTGACATCTGCGTCTAATGGGCGTTCAAAGTCACGGACTCCACCTCCTGAGCCCACAAATGCATTACAAAAAGTTGAGGTATGTAAGAATATGTTACTCTTTGAATTTGGTGGGAGCTTTATCAACTGCTTTTTAGTGTCACCAAGGCACTTTGTTGTAATATTATAGTAACATGTATCTGTTTCTATTGTGTATATGCTCTATTCAACCAGATTCAATATTCACATCTCATACAAGTCGTCGCCCCTGTCACTTAATTAAGTGATGGAGAGATGATAAAATTGGTCTTACTATTATCTTTCATTTCCTAAAAAACTTGTTGTATTCTTAATTATAGGTATTGGCCAATTGGGATAACGTAATAACTAGAAAAAAATGTATGCCTGTCATTACTTATTGTGCTAATCCTTTTCTGCTATCTTTGCTATAACAGGTGGAAAAGATGAAACAAGATGACGGTCTGTCAGACTTAAGCGATCTTCTAGGGGAGCTGAAGGTTATGGCACAGGACATGGGGTCTGAGATTGAGCGGTTAGTGTTATTTTTATTAACCCTTGCCTGTTTCCGAACTTGAGACACTTGCTAATGCTACCTTCACCAAATACATAGGTTTAGCACCATTTGTTGCTTTTGCTGCCTATTGTTTTGTCAATACCTTTCTAACTCAGATTTGTTGTAACCCTTTCAGGCACAACTCCTCATTGAATGGCCTTGATTATGATGTGGAAATCTTGAACGATAGAGTTAGAGGTGCGACCCAACGTGGCCGCCGATTACTAGGAAAATGATGATCTGGAGCATGGTAATCCCATCCCAAGAATGGCACTGTTACTTAAACTTCATTGTTAGAAACATGTTACAACTACTATAATTGTTGGTTGGGACTTAAGGGTACTCGGGCAAGTGATAGTCAAGAGTTTGGGAAACTAGGGAAGATAAACAGGAGATTTTAACTACCTTGATATATGTTTATATTCACTGTATCAGTATTTGATGTTGCATCAGCTTGCGAATTATGTAAACAATAAATTTTCAATTTTTCGGTCACATAATGCATTTTTAATACTTTTTTCGGATATTCATGTTAAGAGTATTTTGTCAAATTTAGCTCTTCATCAAGAATTCACCTGGGATCGTAACTTGTTTACAGTAACTACAAGTAGCATTTGGTTAGCTTGATGCTCATTTTGGGATGAATGAAAATTTTGGTTAACTTTGGATTGATACTAGTAAATAGAAATTACTAGTTGATTCTCTATAACATTTCATATTATCATAGATCAAATGATCTTTTACAATGACATTTATTCCGAAAGTACAATCTGAATATAGTTTTTACATACTAATCTGACAAAGCTGATAAACTTGGACAGTTAGACTGTATATTCATATCTAAACATTAGGAAGTTGTGATAAACCTGGAAAGCAAGACTATACTGAATATTCTAAGCATAATTATTCATCTTAGCTTGAAGATAATCTGTTTTCAGCTGTTGCTTCATTTCAAGGATAGACTTAACTTTGGGGTGGAAAAAGGAGTAGATAACGGATTGGCGTTGAGCAATCTCCAGCTGAGAGACACCATCTGCATAAGCGTTGGTGATATGAGCCGGGTCAGAAAGAGAGCTGTTCTGTCGAAAACCATCTAGGGTGCGACGCTTAGTGTATTCTCTAATGTTGTAGTCAGGGAATTTCCGGGCTGTGCGTAGGAGTGCGCGAAGGAGAGAAGCTACCTCTGCCCTTGTTGGGGTTGTGATATGGGTTGCCATGAGATGAACTTGAGAGGGAGAGAATTAGAGAAGAGAAATGAAATAAGGTTTGCGTTTGTGTTTGGAAATGAGAATAAAAGTGTTAGTTGGAGATGCTTGTTTGTTTGATGATGCTTAGTGCCAAGTGAACAATTCAATGCCGCAAATATCAAGTATAAGAACTTTTTAGGAAGAATTGACGTGTTGAAAGCGAAAAAAGGGCAACAAATGGAGTTCTTAGAAATTTTGATTTTTGAGGTTAAAATGTAATACAACGTATAAAGTTTTAGGCATAAAAAAATCCTTGACATTTCTAAAAAAATAAGATAAAAATCCTTGACATTTCTAAAAAAATAAGATTTTTTTTTTTTATTTATATTATTTTTTAAAGTCAAGTGGTAAATTATTGACAAATTTTGTTATTTAGCTAATGATATTTTCTCTCCTTTTTTTTTTTTTTTTTTGAACGGCAATATTTTCTCTCCTTAATCCTTATCCATCAATTAAGTAAATTTTTTACTGTAATAAAAAAGTCTGTGCCATGGCAATGGGAAATGCCTTTTAAGTGGTAAAAGTAAAAAAATCTTTTTATATTTTTTTAATTTTAAAAGTGTTAAAAATAAATATTTAAAATAATTAAAATCAAAATCATGCTTTTTAAAGAGGTAAAAGTAAAATATAAAGAAAAATCCCTTAATTTTTTTCACAAAATACTTTTAGTAACTCTATGGGAATGAACATGGCTTTGTTTTCCATACAATTAATTAAGATATCATAATTTTGAGTCAATAGTTTATTGAACATTTTAAAAACATATGTACTCGTATATAGGAGTGTACAAAAATTGGCCCGGACCTGAACCGACCTGAACCGGACCGGACCTGACCCGGACCTGTTGATTCAAGTACGGTCCCGGTTCTTAAAAATCCAGGTTCCCGGTCCCGGTCCGGACCCGATCCAAACCCGGGGTTTTCAGGTCCGGACCTGAAACCCGGGAAAATCGTAATTAAAAAAAAAAAAAAAAAAAAAAAAGAAAACCAAACTCTGAAAAATTGAAACTGAGTTTTCGTGGACTTATTTGTATTTTCGGTGGACTCATTTGTATTTTTGGTGTTTGAGAATCGGGACTTTATAGACTTTATGTAGTTTTGTAATTGATAATTTTGGTTTGTATGTAATTATTAAATTATGCAACGGGTCTAAAAATCACAAAACAGGTCCATATGCAGGTCCAACAGGTTTTGTATTAAAAAAAAAAAACGAAAAAGACACAAAACAGGTTCATTCAGGTCCAAACCCGGACCGGACCTGATTTTTCAGGTCTGGCCCGGAACCGGACCTGTTAATTCAGGTCCGGTCCCCGGTCCTCATAATTACCCAATTCAGGTCCCCGGTCCAAACAGGTCCGGTCCAAGTCCGGTCCGGTTTTGGACCGGTGTACACCCCTACTCGTATATATTATGGAGTAAATGTTTATGCTCGTATAGTCGTATGCAAATCTAAGGGTTCGTATGTATCATTATTGTGAATAAATTAGTACAATTAGGACCTTTGCATTTGTTATTCTTTGTGTTTAAGGAAATAGCAACAAGTGCTGAGACTGCTGACCATTTGATCATGCACATCCTTGGAAATAAAACCTTGATAAGTTGATATTCCCTTTTTTCATAACTTCAGTCAAAATTTAGTCCGTATTATTAAACACTAATTCTCGTACGAGATGGTGATTTCAATAAATTATCTAACTTGACTTTGCATGAAATTAAATCTTTATGGACTGGATTCATGCATTTTAATCAGAGTTAATCTTTCACTAATTAATCTTCATGAACAACAAAGTATGACCAATTGACCACTCCCATCTATAAATACCCCAACTTGTCTCACAAAAAAAAAACAATATTACTTTAATTTCAACTTACTACATAATTTTGCACTACTTAAAAAAAAATCTAAGTGCTTTATAATATGGGTGGCAAAGGCGGTGGTGGCGGAGGAAAAGGTGGAGGTGGTGGTGGAGGAAAAGGTGGAGGCGGTGGTGGTGGCGGCGGAGGAAAAGGTGGTGGTGGTGGCGGGGGTGGGAGAAGTGGTGGGGGAGGAGGAAAAGGTGGCAGCGGTGGTGGCTCGAAAGGAGGAGGTGGTTCAGGAGGTGGCTATATGGTTGCACCCGGGAGTGGTGGATCGTCTTACATATCTAGGGGTGCATTTGAGAGTAACCCAGGAGGTTACTTTTCTGGATTTCAGGCTGGTGAGAAAGGGAGCAAGTAACTAGCAAGAAGCTTGTTAAATCTGGCAGTTATATATATCTATGTATTGTATATATTTTTAGTACTTCTGCATGGAATAGCTCCATGTGTTTATGATGATGCTCTTGTTATCTTATATTAGTACTAAATAAAAAGCATCTCGAATTTATGGTGATCTTATTAGAACTTATTGTAGCGGTAAATTATATAAAAAAAATAAACCATACCCTTACTAATAATGATTTTCAAAGCTTTTCTAGTTTTCTGAATCAAATGAAAAGAAGGTGGACAAATGTGATTATAAAACTCGGATAGTTGCTAATTAACTAGCTGTCAAATCATCACACCATTGTTCAAAACTTAGCATTTCCTTTATCATAGAATCTAATACAATTATTCTCTTATATAGTTACTTTGAACACATGTTACATTTAATTAACTACTCCGTGTATCCATATTATATTATTCCCTCCATCTCATAATATAATGACCGTTCATAGCTATCCATCCATGAAATGAAAAGATAGGTCCACACTATCAGAAATTAAAATGTAATTGCAATTTGTTCAGCAATTGTGTGTGAAACAGGCCATTATATTCAGTTTTGATAAATTTATATCCATGATTTAAGGATCATACATATATAAAGTCAAAATCAATCTTCTTCAATAATTCTTCCTGTATTATAAGCATGAAGTTCGTAGGGTGCAATTGCTACCATTACAGTAACTAATGGGAATTCTAGTAACGTATTATTCGAATTTTGCATTCTTTACAATGTTAGCATCATTCATTGACTCCAGAGTAAGATCATGATACCTTCGATTCGAACACTTGGTGATGAGGACTGTTAAAGATTAGATTTCAGCTAGAACTCTACAGAGTTAATATATACTGGAAGGTTGGGTGATTATTTCATTATTATTGGATTAATAACATACACAAAAACTATGGACTAATATCCAGCTATTAGCTCACTGCGCCATACAGGCTAATAGCTTTTCGTCTCATCTGAATCCCTGAAATGAAAATAAACACAGCATAAGAAGATAAGACATAAAGTCTGCCAAGCGGAAAAAAAAAAAAAATGTTACTCGTATAGGTAATGTAACTGCAATTTTGTTTAGCTATTGGAAGCAAATCAAGCCACTCAAATTTGATAAATCTATCCTTGATTTCGATATCTTACATTTATCAATCAAAATTACAATTAGAATTCTTGCCTTCCCTCAATCTTCATTTCCTGCCTTTAAATTCTACCTAGTCAAACCATTTCATCACAAAGAGCAAAAGGGACACTAAATTGTCAGCAGAAAATTTGTAGGGTGCATTGCAATTATGACAAAAGTCACTGTTGGTTTCAAGCATTACTTTGATGAGCAACAGAACAGGAATAACAGAGTTGATACAGGGAGCATTAGTTTAAAAGTAATAAAACATCAGGTTAGGCTAATTTTGGATCATTGATGGGCAAGCGAACTAATTTTGGATTATCCTGGCTATTGTCCAAAAAATAAATTGCAGGAATATTTGCACTACAAGATGAGCTCATTTTACCAATTAAAAAGTAACTTTGTAAATAATGGTGTTCATTGAGCCAAACAAAATCAACAACAGCCAGTATAGATCTACCCGACCAGCCAATGAATTCTCCAGAGAAAGATTATGATATCATCAATCCGAACACTAAGGAACAGATCAGTCTTTATGCCCTTTTAGACTTCTAGTTAGAACTCTACAGAGTAATTACTCCATATGAGACTCCACCTCAAAAAAACAAGAAAAATATGAGCGGAAGAAAGAAAAGGAGAGAAATTACAGACCCCAATTTCATCGTGCGTTGGTGTCACTAAAAAAAGGGATGGAGAAGCCAAGATGTTAGCAAAAGAGGGCATCAAACACCAACCCATACAAACACTTCCTGGAAATCCTAACTTCTCCCAAACGAACAACTAGATCCAGGTAAATTTTTTCATAAATTCAGGCAAGTTCAATGAGATTTAAAAACCAAAGACCAAATCTCTTTATATAATTACCATGAGTTTCAAACATTGTTGATTATATGCTACAATTTTTATTTTATTCAATCGTGCTATTCAAATAAAGTCGCAATTCCCTTGAATGGGTTTTTTAGTTGAATTGGTCTGGGTATTGTTGGAGAACTAAGCTACAATTGCTATCTCTATGTATATAGAGAGAGACAGAGAGAGAACAAAGCCACAATTGCTATCATTTCTTGATACTAAAAGTTTAGGGTATTTCATGTAAACTATCAGTAAAGAGTAGAGACCAGAAACTAGTAATATCCTGCCTAACATGTTCTACCTGCTATAGATTCCATTACTTCCTCCTCTAATGTGTTGTTTATCATTAAAAAAAATACACAAAATAAAGGCACATTGCATTATCTTAATTCAGTCATCATTTCAATTTGAGGTAAACAAAATATAGGACACAACAAAGAATGAAGTAATTAAAGGTGAGAGGTGCCGCACATCAATATATCATAATCATTTGTGAACTTTTCATACACATATCAAAGGAACATTGTAGTGGTAATCTCTTAGAACACAAAATGCAAACACTGAATGCAACCAAGTCTCATCATCATTGCAATCCGAGGTAAACAATATATAGATAAAGTCTTTTTACAAAAAGCAAAAAAAGAAACTCACAATGGGTGTGCATCGAGTATTTGAGCTACATGGTGATAAACCGGAACAGAGAGAAAATCCACCACAGAAGCAGTCATTGTAGTAGTTTTTTCATCGAAATAGTCTTTAAGTTCTTCATCTTCTAAGTAGTATGATGATAACGTGGCAGCATCCAAAGGAGAAAGACGGAAAAAAACCAGGTCCAAGTTAGTATCTGAATGAGTGAATGGAGGGAACCGACTCAGTGAATTGAATTTACACCATAAGATGCCCAGTAAGTCTTCAGAAAAGGGATACAAAACCATGACTCGTTTGTTGAAAAACCGGCCATTGCTATATCCAAACCAGGGATTGCAGATACCAGTCACGTACACTTTCTGATACCTCTGGTGAGACAAATTGTACATTGAGAGTATCCCAAGGGAGTCGACCCAATAGATGGTCTCATTATACACAGCCACAACGCGCGTTTGACCTTCATATGTGAGGGCATTTATTAGGAGCCGAGTGAGATCGGGGCAGGTATCAAAGCGGTGCCAATGCCATGTGAATGGATCAAAAGTGTACTGAAAATCCGAGTAAGTAGCCACCAGTAAAATCCTTTTGACTCTAAAAAGGAGTAATACAACGAGTTCAAAATCGGAAACCCATTCAAATGGTGGATTTGGAAGTGGGTGCCAATATCCCACAGCCGGGTCAAACACCTCAGCAAAAGGAGTATCTGAATCACGACGATTCCCACCAAAAGCAAACAGCTTCCCAAACATCGATACCAGCCTAGGTCGGTATCGAGCACATAAAAGGGGCTGCGAACCCATCTTCCATTGCGGGGCTGGGTCGCTGAAATCACAGAAATCAAAAGAATTCGATAACTCGTTATCACCATTCCTTTTTCTTGAACTTAGATCCGCCCCTAACCCTACGTAAGGTTTGCCACCAGTGATGGTGCTTAAGGGTAGAGGAAGAGTATTGTCGGCTGCAAGCATTCCCTCAGCTTCACTCAAATAATCATGAAAATCTTGAATGTGAGATTGATTACCACCAAATGCAAACATGACAGATCCAATAGGAGCACAACGAGTCGAGGAAGGGTATGCATCATCGGCCGTAACATGACATTTAAAATCAAACGGACCTTCCACTTCATAAGATCTACCATTCACAAACAAATCAGCACGAGTATTAGTAGGAGACATGGAGATGCCATCGTAAACACGGGAAGACGAAGAATTTTGGAATTTATCAAGGAGTAAGCCAGGAATCTTCATCTTCAACCATTTAACAGAATCGGGTCCTGGCTGTCCGAAATCGGCAACGTAAATCAGACGAACGCCGATGCAGACATCTTTATGGACTACACCAACCGGCCTCCAATTTTTTCTTTTTCATTTCTGATAACTTTCAGAGAGAACAGACAAGATTGTATTTTTAGGGTTTCTTTTTACCCCAAATCTAATTCCACCTTAAACCTTACCAAGTATATACTATTATAGAAAACATTTTTACATTGGCCTTTAGGAATCAACTTTGTATCTATTTACTCTTTCTTTTTAATCTGCACCTTTAATATGAATCCGGTGAAACAGAAAATCTTGCGTGGAATACACTCATAATTGGCTTTATATTCAACATAGGATTTATTATATTATGAACTTAAAATACAACATTATGTTCAATAGTGACCTATTTAACATAGTGATCTTTATTATTCATATTGATCATTATATTAAAGATTTCATTAAAAAAATTAGCCCTTATATCTTTTATAATGTCACACTAACTTTTATTTCAACATGATATTTTTATTTTAATATAGTGACTTTTTTTATTAATAAAACAATTATATTGTCTATGTTAGTAGTCCACAATAAATAAGTGTAAACCAGGTTCATTTGAGAATTTGTACCGGTGAAAACGGTTTAGTTATCGTTATCTCTATTCTTTTGAAAGTAATTCCACACTGTAATTTGTGGGTAGTGGGCCTTGTTTGGAACAAATCATATGGTTGTGATTTGTGAAGGATAGCTAAAGTGATTATTTTTTTTTTCCGATTCTAGAGAATTCTAAGATCGCATCATCCGTCTTTGTGAACTTAGGGGTGTTCAAAATCATACCAAAACGAATTAACCGGCCTGGTCTTTGGGTCTAAAAATATATTTTTTTCCGGTCCGGACCAATCTAAAACCCTATAAAAGCTGACCTTGGACCAAACCGATGTTTACGTAAAACTTATGCATAAAATCTTAGATAACGCTTAAGATTATCCTTAGTAACCTTTGAAAACTTTAATTGTATAAGCTTTTTTTCTACTTAACATACAAAAAGGAAGCTATAATAGAGTTTTTCCTCTACTTTTTTCAAGTTTTCCATAATTATTATTATAATTTTTGGCATTTATTTTAAGTAAATACTAATATCAGTCTAGTTTTGGACCGATTTTTCACTACTAAAATTCGGCTAAATTGCGACCGTTTTTTACGACCGTCTGAAAAACGGTCGCAAAATATGAATATTGCGACAAGTTTTTATGCGGTCGCAATATTACGATTGCTTTGACAACGGTCGCAAAACGGTCGCAAATTTGCGACAGTTTTGCGACCGTTTTTAGCCTTTTAGACGGTCGCCAGGACATTTAAAAAATTAAAAATAATTTTAAATTAAAATAAATCGTTTGCGACCGTCAAAAACGGTCGTAAATGTCATAATCTGCGACCGTCAAAGAGACGGTCGTAAATGTCATAATCTGCGACCGTAAAAAATGGTCGTAAAATTCATAATCTGCGACCGTCACAGTGACGGTCGTAAATGTCATAATTTGTGACTGTCAAAGACGACCGTAAAATTCATAATCTGCGACCGTCATAGAGACGGTCGTAAATATCATAATCTGCGACCGTCAAAGACGGTCGCAAAAAGCTTATTTTTTTATTAAAAAAATCGGGTATAAAATGACACCATCTCACCCAACCCTAATTTACTACTCCGTATCCGGCCTCACGCCGTTCCTCTTTCTCTTTCCTTACCTCTCTTCCATTTTCTTTCCTCTCTCCTCTAAGTCTCTGATTTCTTTCCTCTCTTCTTTCTCTTTCCTCTACTTCCTTTCTCTTTCCTCATCCTCCATCTCTTTCCTAAGAATTGAAGAATTAGAAGTTGATAAATTTGCTTGGTGTTGATGCCGACGCTTGCTATCACCGTACCTCCGCGCTGCTCACCACGACTGCACATTCGAGCCACCGTCACGACCTCCACCGTCATAAGAACGAACCTAAAACAAGTCAAGGTTTTCTAGATCTGATATTTAAATTAGTTAGATTGTAGATCTAGTTTTATTGTTTCTAATTATTTCTGATTATGTATAATTGTTATATTGTAGTTTTTGTTTATAAATTTTGAAAAAATTTCATTATTATTTCATTTCGAATTTATGGGTAATCTTTTGTATAATTGTTTAATTTCGAATTTATGGGTAATCTTTTGTATAATTGTTTAATTTCGAATTTATGGGTAATCTTTTGTATAATTGTTTAATTTCGAATTTATGGGTAATTTTTTGTATTTTGATTGTTTTATTTCTGATTTTGTGGTTTTTTTTTTCAATTTTTGATAATTTTGTTGCCGGTGGTGGTGAGTACTGGGTAAGGGTGGTTTTGGGTCAGATCAAGTGTTTGTTGGGTAAAGGTGGTTTCAGGTGAGAGGCAGTTGGTGGTTGTGGGTTGAGGGTATTTCGGGAGAGAGGCAATTGGTTGTGTGTTGAGGGTGTTTCGAGTTGAGGTAAAGTGGCGGTGGTAGCTGTTTGGGTGGGCGGCAATGGTGGGTCTGTGTTTTTTAGGGTGGTGGTGGTGGTTTGGGTGGGAAGTGATGGACTGGTGGTGGTGGGTAGTAGCGTTGTGTACAGTTGGTTTGGGTGGTGGGTTAACTGGTTGCGGGGTACAGGATGTGGGTGGGTTTTTTTTTCTTTTTTTTTTTTTGTTTTTTTAAAACTTTTTAGCGACCGCCTTTAGCTGTCATTAATTCTTAAAATTGTGACTGCTTATAAAAACGGTCGTAAATTTTAATTTTTGCGACCGTTTTCCTTGCGGTCGTTGAAAATATTAAAAACGGTCGCAATAAATCTACGACCGTCAAACGGTCGTAATAATTTTTTTTTGCGACCAAGGAAATAACGACCATCCCTTTACGACTGTTGACGGTCGCAAAAATGAATTGCGACCGTTTTTGCTATTTTTTGCGACCGTTAGAGGCGATCGCAAAAACCTTAATTTTTAGTAGTGTTTTCTGTCCAATCCGAGTTCAGTCCTAGCTTAATTGGTCCGATCTTTGTTTTAAAATTTCGCTGCATAATATAATCACGAAATCAATCTAGCGGTTATTAATCGCATCTCTCGAATCTTGACTTAACCATTTAAAATTAATCTGCCTATTGAAACTAAGCCTTAATACCAATTTTCATCAATTGAATCTCGAATCAATATTGCATAATTGATGAGTCTATTATATATATATATATATATATATATATATATATATATATATATATATATATATATATATATATATATATATATTTTTATTCCCCGTCCTACGATCATATTTGTGCTTATTCGAGCTATGCGGAGCTATTATTATTACTAATATACGTGTAAATCAGTGTTATTAGTGTTTATATTTTGATGATTTCTTAACTTTTTACGATTTTCAAGTGTAAATTTAATGTTTATATGTAGCCCTTGTAGCCCTAAGGGCTATGTATAACATTAGCCTATTATTAAACACTAATTCTCGTAGGAGATGGTGATTCCAATAAATTATCTAACTTGACTTTGCATGAAATTAAATCAAGTTTATGGACTGGATTCATGCATTTTAATCAGAGTTAATCTTTCACTAATTAATCTTCATGAACAACAAAGTATGACCAATTGACCATTCCCATCTATAAATACCCCAACTCTAATTATCGTCTTTGTCTCACAAAAAAAAAAAAAAAAAAAAAACAATAATACTTTAATTTCAACTTACTACATAATTTTGCACTACTTAAAAAAAATTCTACTAGCTTTATAATACGGGTGGCAAAGGTGGTGGCTGCGGAGGAAAAGGTGGAGGCAGTGGTGGTGGTGGCGGAGGTGGGAGAAGTGGTGGGGGAGGAGGAAAAGGTGGCGGCGATGGTGGCTCGAAAGGAGGAGGTGGTTATATGGTTGCACCCGGAAGTGGTGGATTGTCTTACATATTTAGGGGTGCATTTGAGAGTAACCCAGGGGGTTACTTTTCTGGATTTCATGCTAGTGGAAAGGGAGCAAGTAACTAGCAAGAAGCTTGTTAAATCTGGTAGTTATATATATCTAAGTATGTATTGTAATATATTTTTAGTACTTTTGCATGGAATAGTTTATAGTTCCATGTGTTTATGATGATGCTCTTGTTATCTTATCAATCATCACTAACTATATACTAAAGGCGAAACCAAAGATGACATGTGTCATCTTTTGGTTAAAATTTTTTCCACAAAAAGCCTTTTTTTTTCATTTTTTTTTTTGCTTTTTTGTCAAAAAATCTTATTAGAGAATATTTACTATATACGTAATACAAAGTATAATATTTTCATTCCTTTCTTACAAAAATAAAATATTTTTTCCTTCCAAAATAATCATTATGTTTCTTCCTTATATATAATACTCAAATATCAATTATTTCATTATTTGATATGTTAAGTATCTTTAATTATTTTATGTATGTATAATTTTGGTTTCCTATCTTTATTATCTAATAATTACGTAGTACATAGATTAAGGGTCTATTCACATTTACTGAAATGAGCTGAACTAATTGGAGTTAAATTGAACTAAACTGATTGGAGCTTAACTGAACTGAATAGAGCTGAAATGAATATTTTATGAGAGAAGGAAATTAGGAGCTGAAATGAACTGAACTGATTGGAGCTGAACTTAACTAAAATTAAACTAAAGTGAACATGCCCAAACTATTATTAATGTAAATCATATTTTAAACATATTATCATAACTTTTTAAGTATTTAAAATAGGAATTATATGGGTTAAAAGTTATATTTTTTTTATATAATATTTGTGTATCAACACACCACGGGTATTATGTTACACCAGATGCCCAAATTATCACTATTGTAAATCCTATTGTGATATTATCTATGCGATAATACGACCTTTTTCAAATTATATTTTCAAATTTTAAAAGTGGTCAATTTTATATGAAAAATATATATATATATAAAGATAATGTGCGTAGATGAAAGGCTAGCTATATACATATTTATAAAATTATTATTATTTGTTTGTCAAAAAGAAAAATAGTACGGAGCATCACTTTATTGTGAATTTTAAAACACTCATAGTCAAAAGGAGTATTTTTACGAAACTCATTTTGTTAATAAGCTCTTGATACTGCGTTTGATATTTTATGTTTTATTTTAGTAAATATTAGAAATAATAAGAAGATAAATATATCGTAGTTAAATTTTTCATGTGATTATATTACCTTTTGACAATTTTATTTTTGATATTAAAGATGAATTATTATGTAACAAGCACTAACGATAAATATAATTATAGTGTTACACCAACAAGAATTTGAAAATTACCGTGCATGGCACGGGAACTAACCTAGTATTAGTACTAAATAAAAAGCATCTCGAATTTATGGTGAACTTATTAAAACTTATCTAGCTGTAAATCTATACTTTTTTGTTTGAAAACTCTAACCGAAAAATACACAATGTCTTCATTCTATTACACTTTTCTTGCTTCTTTTACACCAGATGTGCCACATGTCTTCTTATATATATATTTTTTAATTTTTTATTACACTATCTTAATTATTTCATTAAACTTATATTTTCATCTCTCTCATACACACTTCATATTCAATTCCCCTATTCATTTCAACCTTTTCCTTTTCTCTCTTTAATTTTAGTCCCTTCACCTTCTTATTTTCTAGCCTCATTTTGAATTAGAGCCCTAAAAATCAATTTCTTTAATTATATTTTAAATTACGCATTACACCCCATAATGATTTATTGGTATTTCCTCGATCACGACCTTTCAATACAACTTTATATAAACAACCCGTGCATTGCACGGGCTAGAAGGCTAGTTATATTAAAAAAAAAAAAAAAAAAAGTAATCCATACCCTTACTAATAATGATTCTCAAAGATTTTCTAGTTTTCTGAATCAAATGAAAAGAAGGTGGACAAATGTGATTATAAAACTCGAATAGTAGCTAATTAACTAGCTGTCAAATCATCACACCATTGTTCAAAACTTAGCATTTCTTTTAGGAAAAATTGAAAAGAATAATCCCACCTTTGCCCAATCTGCTCAAAACGAGCCAACCTTTGAGTATTCTGGGAACAAGCCCACCTTTCACCTCTATTTTCTTAAAATGGGTCTTTTGACTTGCAACCTCTTAAGCAGGTTATTTTTTTTTTTTTCTTAATATTTTCTCCTTAATCTCTCTCCTCTAACTTTCACCACCATTACCCCTCCAATCTTCCATAACAACCACCTCATCACCACCACTACCCCTCCATAACAGTCACTCCCACCACCTATCACAGCTTACCTCTGCTCGCCACCACCCTAGTTTACATCTGATCACCACCACGGCACCACCCCAGCCCACCACTAACCCCTACCACAAAGCCTCCCTTAATCGAACCACCACTTTTCACCTCACCACCACTCAACTGCGCGAAACACCAGCCAACCCCCAAACACGCTGCATCAGACCAAATCTCCACCGCCCATGGCCCTACTACTGACCCTCACAGACCACGTCCCCTTTAATCGAACCCTATCCCCACCTAACTGAAATCCAACCTTCTCTCACCTAACCACCACCCCATCGAAATTCCATCCCCGAAACCCGCTGTGTCGGACCAAAACCCCACCTATTCTGACCCAATTGGATCGAAAACCACTCCACATTACCCCGCGAAAGTCCCAATTAAACCCACCTTGGAGTACGAGAAGAACTCATGGAAGGGGGTGGTAGCGGCTGATTTTCGACGAGGAAGGGAGTGGTAGCTGCCATTGGGTGGGGAAGAGGGTGATAGGAGAAGGGTGTGGTTACAGTGGTCGGGGAAGAGGGAAGGAGTTCTGATTTTTTTTTTAAATTAAAAAAAAATAGGACCAATTAGAAGGTGACACGTGGCAAGTCACCTTCTAAAATCAGTTACTAAATTATAAAACCGGTCATGGGCTTGTTTTGAGAAAATAGGGTGCAAAGGTTGGATTGTTCCCGGAATACTCAAAGGTTGGCTCGTTTTGAGCAGATCGGGCAAAGGTGGGATTATTCTTTTCAATTTTTCCTTTCCTTTATCATAGAATCTAATACAATTATTCTCTTATATGGTTACTTTGAACACACGTTACATTTAATTAACTACTCCGTGTATCCATATTATATTATTCCCTCCATCTAATAATATAATGACCATTCATAGCTATCCATCCATGAAATGAAAAGATAGGTCCACACAATCAGAAATTAAAATGTAATTGCAATTTGTTTAGCAATTGTGTGAGAAACAGGCCACTATATTGAGTTTTGATAAATTTATATCCATGATTTAAGGATCATACATATATTAAGTCAAAATCAATCTTCTTCCATAATTTTTCCTGTAAATTCTACCAGCTGGCTACATACACCAGTTCATTACAAAGAGCAAAAGGAGCATTGAATTATAAGCATGAAGTTCGTAGGGTGCAATTGCAACTATTACAGTAACTAATGGGAATTCTAGTAACGTATTATTCGAATTTTGCATTCTTTATATTGTTAGCATCATTCATCAATTAGAGCGTAAATCAGTAAGTTATGGTGTCCATGAGTAAGATCATGATACCTTCGATTCGAACACTTGGTGATGAGGACTACTAAAGATTAGAGTGTAAATCACTGGAAGGTTGGGTGATTATTTCATTATTATTTGATTAATAACATACCCAAAAACTATGGACTAAGTACAATTGCTATTAATCACGGCACTAATAAGTTAAGTCCTGTTTTATTACCAAAGTTTATATGTCTAGCTTAAACATATTCATTGTACCCGTCTTCTCGTACACAAAACAAAATGAAAATTGCAGTGCTATTATTCTCTTAAAACACGAAATGCAAAAACAGAATGCCATCAACTCATAATCACTTTATCAGCAAGTCGTAATTAACATCATCATTTGAGGTAAACAAAAGAACATTGTGTCATTATTGTAGTGTTTAATCTCTTAGAACACGAAATGTAAAGACTGAATGCAATCAACTCATCATCATTTCGATTCGAGGTAAACAATACATAGAGATATTTTTAAAACTCACATTATAGGGTGTGCATCGACTATTTGAGCTACATGGTCATAAACCGGAACAGAGAGAAAATCCACCACAGAAGCAGTCATTGTAGTAGTACTTTCGTCGAAACAGAATCTACTTCCAATGCCTTCGTGTGATGATAAAGGAGAGGGATCTGCATCGGTAACAGGAGAAAGACGGAAAATTACTAGGTCCAAGTTAGTACCAAATTTATTGACTGGATTGGGTTTACACCAGAAGATGGCCAATAGGTTCTCAGATAAGGGACGCAGCACCATATTGTTTTTGCGACTAAGGCAGCCATGTCTTCCAAAGTTGGGATTACAAATACCAGTGACATATACTGCCTGAAACCTCTGGTCGGACAAATTGAACATTGAGAGTACCCCAACACTGTTGATCCAATAGATGGTCTCATGATAGATAGACACAAGGGGAGCATCTTCCCCAGGTAAACGAGAGGAATAGAGGAGTTGAGTGAGGTCTGGGAAAGAATCCATGCGGTGCCAAAACCAAGTAGATGGATCAAAGGTGTACACAAAACCCGAATGAGTAGTCACTAGTAAAATCCTGTTGATTTTAACAAGGGGAAATACACAGAGTTCAAAATCGAAAACCCATTCAAATGGTGGGTTTGGAAGTGGGTGCCAGTATCCTACATCCGGGTCAAAAACCTCAGCAAAAGGAGTACCTGAACTACGACTACGACGATTCCCACCAAAAACAAACAACTTCCCATCCATCGAAAGTAGATGAGGGCGGTATCGAGGACATAAAAGGGGTTGTGAACCCAGCTTCCATTGTGGACTGGGATCGCTAAAATCACAAAAATCAAAGGAATTAGACATTTCAACATCAACATTTGTTCTTAGATTCGCACCTGTATAAGTAAAGGTAGGTTTGCCACCAGTAATTGGCCGTAAATCAGTGATTTTGCTTATGGGCGCGCGACAATTTTATCTTTTGAACTCAAACGGACCTTCGATTACATAAGATTTATCTTTTACAAACAAACTACCAACGGGAGTATCAGCGGTGCCATCATATTCACAAGAAGACGAACAATTTTGGAGTTTATCAAGGAGTATGCCCGGAATCTTGATCTTCAACCACCGAGCGAAACCAGGATTTTCATCGTCAACTTCAATGTAAACCAAACGAGCACAGATGCAGACATCTTTCTGCACTTTACCACCGCTATCCTCTGCTACCGGAGGTGATTCCGATCTTTCTGCACTTTACCACCGCTATCCTCTGCTACCGGAGGTGATTCCGATCTTTCTGCACTTTACCACCGCTATCCTCTGCTACCGGAGGTGATTCCGATCTTTTCCTCTTCATACCCCTTTCAGCCTCCAATACTTTCATCTTCATTCTTGGATTGATAACTTACA